GAAAAGTTAGGTATGATAGACCTCTGGAGAAAACTGAATGGGGATAGAAAGGAATATACTTTTTTCTCGCAGTACATGGCACATACACAAAAATTGACCATGTACTAGGGCATAAAAACCTCACAATCCAATGCAGAAAGGCAGAAATATTAAATGCATCCTTTTCAGATCATGATGCAATAAAAATTATATGTAATAAAGGGCCATGGAAAGATAGACTAAAAAATAATTGGAAACTAAATAATCTAATCCTAAAAAATGATTGGGTCAAACAACAAATCATAGAAACAATCAATAATTTCATTCAAGAGAATGACAATAATGAGACAACATACCAAAACCTATGGGATGCAGCGAAAGCAGTTCTTAGGGGAAGTTTTATATCTCTAAATGCTTACATAAATAAAATAGAAAAAGAGGAGATTAATGAATTGGGCATACAACTAAAAAAACTAGAAAAAGAACAAATTAAAAATCCTCAACTAAACACCAAATTAGAAATATTGAAAACCAAAGGAAAAATTAATAAAATTGAAATTAAGAAAACTATTGAACTAATAAATAAAACTAAGAGCTGGTTTTATGAAAAAAACCAATAAAATAGATAAGCCTTTGGTTAATTTAATTAAAAAAAAGAAAGAAGAAAACCAAATTACTAGTATCAAGAATGAAAAGGGTGAAGCTACCACCAAGGAAGAGGAAATTAAAACAATAATTAGGAATTATTTTGCCCAACTATATGCCAACAAATTTGACAATCTTAGTGAAATGGATACATATTTACAAAAATATAAATTGCCCAGATTAACCGAAGAGGAAGTAAAATACTTAAATAACCCCATCTCAGAAAAAGAAATTGAACAAGCCATTGATGAACTCCCTAGGAAAAAATCTCCAGGGCCAGATGGATTTACATGCGAATTCTATCAAACATTTAAAGAACAATTAATTCCAATACTATATAGACTATTTGGGAAAATAGGTGAAGAAGGAGTCTTACCAAATTCTTTTTATGATACAAATATGGTGTTGATACCTAAACCAGGAAGAGTCAAAATAGAGAAAGAAAATTATAGACCAATTTCTCTAATGAATATAGATGCAAAAATTTTAAACAAAATACTAGCAAATAGATTGCAGCAACTTATCACAAGAATAATACACTATGACCAGGTAGGATTTATACCAGGAATGCAGGGTTGGTTCAATATTAGGAAAACTATCAGCATCATTGAGCATATCAACACAAAACCAACAGAAACCACATGATCATCTCAATAGATGCAGAAAAAGCTTTTGATAAAATACAACACCCATTCCTATTAAAAACACTAGAAAGCATAGGTATAAATGGAGTCTTCCTTAAAATAATAAATAACCTATATCTAAAACCTTCAGCAAGCATTATATGTAATGGGGACAGGCTAGAAGCATTTCCAATAAGATCGGGGGTGAAACAAGGATGTCCATTATCACCACTGTTATTCAATTATTGTACTGGAAACCTTAGCTTTAGCAATAAGAGAAGAAAAAGAAATTGAAGGCATTAGAATAGGCAAAGAAGAAACAAAGCTATCACTCTTTGCAGATGACATGATGATATACTTAGAGAATCCTAGAGAATCAAGTAAAAAACTACTTGAAATAATAAACAACTTTAGCAAAGTTGCAGGCTATAAAATAAACCCACATAAATCATCAGCATTTCTATATATTACCAACAAAGCCCAACAGCAAGAGATAGAAAGAGAAATCCCATTTAAACTTACTGTAGACATTATAAAATATTTAGGAGTCTACCTCCCGAAACAAACCCAGGAACTCTATGAACACAATTACAAAACACTTTTCACACAAATAAAATCAGATCTAAATAATTGGAAAAACATCAGTTGCTCATGGGTAGGCCGAGCTAATATAATAAAAATGACAATCCTACCTAAGCTAATTTACTTATTCAGAGCCACACCAATCAAACTACCAAAAATTATTTTATAGAGTTAGAAAAAATAATAACAAGATTCATTTGGAAAAACAAAAGGTCCAGAATATCAAAGGAACTAATGAAAAGAAATGCAGGGGAAGGTGGCCTAGCAATTCCAGATCTTAAATTGTATTATAAAGCAGCAATCATCAAAACTGCTTGGTACTGGCTAAGAAATAGGGAGGTGGATCAGTGGAATAGGTTAAATATGCAAGACACAGTAGTCAATGACTATAGTAATCTATTATTTGATAAACCCAAAGACCCCAGCTTCTGGGATAAGAACCCACTCTTTGAAAAAAACTGCTGGGAAAACTGGAAAAGAGTATGGCAGAAACTAGGCATAGACCCAAATCTCACACCATATACCAAAATAAAGTCAAAATGGGTTCAGGACTTAGATATAAAGGCTGATACCATAAGTAAACTGGGAGAACAAGGAATAGTTTACCTATCAGATCTATGGAGAACAGAAGAATTCATGACCAAACAGGAGATAGAGAACATTATGAAAAGCAAAATGGATAATTTTGATTACATTAAATTGAAAAGTTTTTGCACAAACAAAGCCAATGCAACTAAGATTAGAAGGAAGGTAGAAAATTGGGAAAGAATTTTTACAACCAGTCTCTCTGATAAAGGCCTCATTTCTAAAATATATAGAGAATTAAGACAAATTTATAAGAACACAAGCCATTCCCCAATTGATAAATGGTCAAAGGATATGAACAGACAGTTCTCAGATGAAGAAATTAAAGCCATCTATAGTCATATGAAAAAATGCTCTAAATGTTATTGATTAGAGAAATGCAAATCAAAACAACTCTGAGGTACCACATCACACCTATCAGATTGGCCAACATGACAAAACAGGAAAATGATAAATGTTGGAGAGATGTAGAAGATGGGAAAATTGGAACACTAATACATTGTTGGTGGAGTTGTGAAATGATCCAACCATTTTGGAGAACAATTTGGAACTATGCCCAAAGGGCTAAAAATGTGCATACCCTTTGATCCAGCAATACCACTTCTAGGGCTATATCCCAAAGAGATCAAACAAATGGGAAAAGGACCCACATGTACAAAAATATTCATAGCAGCTCTTTTTGTGGTGGCAAAGAATTGGAAATTGAGGAGATGCCCATCAATTGGGGAATGGCTGAGCAAGTTGTGGTATATGAATGTAATGGAATACTATTGTGCTATAAGAAATGATGAACAGGCTGACTTCAGAAAAACCTGGAAAGATTTATATGATCTGATGCTGAGTGAAGTGAGCAGAGCCAAGAGGACTTTGTACACAATAACAGCCACGTTATGCAATGACTAAGAATGTTAAGCTGAACCCTTCTCAGCATTACAAGGATCTAAGACATCTCCAGAGGCCTTGGGATGGAAAATGCTGTCCACGTCCAAAGTCGAATCACTATCACTTATTTTTACCTTCTGTTGAGTTTTGTTTCATCTTTTTGGTGGTTCTTCCTATTGGTTTTAATTTTTACATACAACTTCACTAATGTGAAAATATGTTTAATGGGAATGTAAATGTAAAGCCTATGTCAGATTGTGCGCCGTCTTGGGGAGGGTTGGGGTGAGGAAGGGGGAGAAAAATTTTCAACTCAAAAGCATATGGAAGTGATAGTTGATAAATCAAAATAAATTAATAAAATTTTTGAAAAAATTAAAAAAAATAAAAGAAGCTGGCCTCTACTGAATTGACTAGCTCAAATCTGCCCCTGAGGTTTGAGTGAAGAGACCAAATACTTAAGAATCTATGATTCGATTATCTTTCTCTTTCTGTGGGTCAGTGGGATAAGGTTTCATTAACTTGTAGTTTGCCAAATTCTGGTTATTGGATTTTTATTTTTACAGAAGCACAAAAGGTTTTTTTTTGTTCCAATCTTTGCCTATATTTGTGGCCAGAAAAACTGAAGGACAATGTTACATAGCAATAAAAATTATTTTGAGATCCTCCAATTTTTAAGGTACTGTTTATGTAGCAAGGGAAATCCAGGTTCAATATGCATTTTTTCCATAATAAGTCTTTTTAAAATTCAAAATAATTTTTCATTTTATTTCCTTTTCATTTTTTCAATTTTCATTCAGAATAATTTTTTTATTTTCAAAAATGAATTTCACTCTTTTTTTTTCATTTCTTTTGTGTGTGTGTGAGACAGTCCTGGTTAAATGACTTGCCCAGGGTCACAGAGCTAGTAAGTGTCAAGTGACTGAGGACAGATTTGAACTCAGTTCCTCGTGTATCCAGGGGAAGTGTTCTATCCACTGTGCCACCTAGCTGCCCCATTTCTTTTTTCATTTCAACCTATGATGTCATAAGCCTTTGGCCTCCCATCATGGTAGCCTGATGTCTTTTTCTTTGGGCATGAGAAAAATCTGTTTACCTTTCTTTGTTTTAAACATTTATTTGTTAGTTTGAATGTATCTTTTAGGATTACATTTGAGAGGAGACAATTGAAGAGGGGGTGGTATCCCAGGAGAGGAGAGAGAGAGAGAGAGAGAGAGATTTAAAACTGAGGCATTTATTTGCAGAATGCCGTCTCTGGCTAGGGGCTCAGGGCTTAAAGGGGGCAGGCAGGAAAGAGAATGATAGATTCCTTTTGTTTTATCTTCCAGGAGCAGAGAAAAAATGTTGTTGTTCATCCTCTGTTTTTGAAGAGGAACATAGGTGGTTTGAATCCTGACTCTACCACCTCTTATTGTCTGTGTGACCTCTGGTAATTCACTTAACCTCTCTTGTTCTCAATGTCCACACTGGTAAAATAAAGAGTCTAGATAAACTCAATGCCCTCTAAGCTCTTTTTTTGGCTCTAAATATGTAATTTTAAAAAATCTATGATTCTATGACCCTGAGTAAGAAGAAGTTCTAATTGAATGAAGTTTTATAATAAGCAATGTAAAGATTAGGTTTTCCAATTTATAACAAACTCTATAAGGAGGCATCATATTTATTAACTACTGAAACTAGAAATGCTGCAGGAGCACATCCTAGTATTTTTTGTGAGCATGACTATAATTCAACCAATATGGTGCTCGAGTATTTAAGAAACAGGCCTTTTTCAAGCTTGAATATCTTCTTTGCAGCTTTAAGACATGCTTCATCCATGGGCGGCCTTCTTGCACTACCAGGCTGGAAGAATTTCTGAATCCTGGGGAGTTTGCTGACTCTAGTTTTGAACTCCTAAAATGAAAAAAAAATGACAACCACCTATAAATGTGGCAATCAGCCTTTCACAATGGAACAGGGCCACAGGAATGCTTTGCCAAGACCCTTTGGAAGCTGTTTCATCCTGGGAGAAAGCTGTAGCAAGCATCTTCATCCTGTGGGCAGTGACATTTGAAAGGCCCCAGGAACTTCTTGCTGTGCAGCTCTGTAGGGCCTCCACTTTTCAGATATGATATAATATGAATATATTAAACATATGAAGAAACAGCCTTCTCCTTTAAAATGTATAAATTTTTACTTCCTTAATTGCTGGAAAGGATTTGAGCTCTGGGCTCACCAATGCTCTTCATGCCTACCATCTGAAAAGACATCCAGCCATCATCTGAAGGGTGGACAACAGATGGCTGGTTTGGTCCACAGTGATTCGTGAAGACTAAGGATCTCTGTTCTTGGAGGAAGTGTACACAGAGGAAATTCCAGATCTTTTAAACAAACATGTATTGATCACTTACTATGTGCTCAGCACTGTGCTAAGCTCTGGAGATACAAAGAAAAAAGCAAAAACTATCCCTGCCTGCAGGAAGCTTACATTCTAATGGGGAAGAGGACATGTACATCAATAGATATCTGCAATATTTATAGTGAGTGCTTTTGATGGAATTACCTGAAGTTTAGGGAATGCCGACAGAGCATCAGACTTGCATTCTTCAACCATTAAGATGAGTTCAAGGAGATGGATATCTGCCCAGCTCAGCTGGTTGCCCACAAGGTAGTTTTTGCCATGGTCTTTTAATGCCTATAGGATCAATGACAAGGAGAGAAGGGAGAGAATTTGTGGGAATATAGAGCACATTTCTTGAAGACAGTGTATTTATTATTTGAAGATAGGGCATTTTCTCTGGCTGTCCCCCATGCCTGGAACACTCTCCCTCCTCTACTCTGACAGCTGACTTCCCTGACCTCCTTCAAGTCCCAACTAAAATGCCATCTTCTACAGAAAGCCTTCCCCAACCCCTCTTAATTCCAGTGCTCTCTCTTTTTAATTATTTCTTATTTATTCTGTGGGCAGCTAGGTGGAGCAATGGATAGAGTGGATAGAGAGCCATGCCTGGAGGCAGGAAAACCTGAGTTCAAATGTGGCCTCAGACACTTAGCTGTGTGATCCTGGGCAAGTCACTTCACCCTGTTTGCCTCAGTTTCCCCATCTGTCAAATGAGCTGGAGAAGGAAATGACAAACCACTCCAGTATCTTTGTCAAGAAAACCCTGAGTGGAATACAACTGAACAACAAAATCTATCCTGTACATAGGTTGCTTTGTATATATTTGCTTGCATGTTGTTTCCTTTAGATTGGAAACTCCTTTAGGGCAGGGACTCTCTTTTGCCTCTTTTTGTATCCCCAGTGCTCAGCACAGTGCCTGGCACATAGCAGTTGCTTAATAATTGTTTACTGAATTGAAGTTTACATATATTGAAAAGTTCTAGTTCATTGAGTATTGTTCAGTTTATAATAAAAAAGTGCAACCCGATATATCCTTACAAGTGAAATAATTCCATCCCCCCATTATGGGGAGAGAGACAGAGAGAAAGAGAAAGAGAAAGAAAGAGAGAGAGAGAGAGAGAGAGAGAGAGAGAGAGAGAGAGAGAGAGGGACAGAGAGACAGAGAGAGTTATGCAACCTAGGGTTTCATAAGACGATTTTTAAAAACAAGAGTACCGGGCCAGGAGTTAGGGAACCTGGATTGTTTTTGTTACTGGACTAGTCATTAGCTCTGTGATCTTGCATAATTCTCAAGGCCTCAGTTGCCTCATCTGTAAACAAAGTTGGTTGAACTACCTTTTTTCCCATGTCAGTTGATTCGTAGTGCTGTAAGCGCTTACCCTATGCTTTAAGTGATTCTTCCCCAATGGGCCTTGGATCCTTTCCTAAGAAGACCTTAACTTAGGACTGTGATATCCCTGTGGGGGAAGATCTAGCCCCCTTGACCACAGTATCTTTTTCAAGCTTGATGAGGAACTTCAGTTCATCTACTCTAAAACCTCTCAGACTATCTAAGCACCAAATCTAAGCTACCCAAAGCTGTAAGGTGGCAAAGTGGATAGAAGACTGGATCTGAAGGAATTCAGTCTCTGACACTAGTTATTGTGACCTTTGGCAAGTCATTTAACCTTTGTCTGCCTCAGTTTCTTCAGATGAAAAATGGAGATAATAATAGTATCTACCTCCAAAGGTTATTGTACCAAATGATAAAATATTTGTAAAGCATTTAACATAGTACCTGGCACATAGGTGATGCTTAATAAATGCTTATTTCCTTCCTTTCTTCCTCAGTGCACGTTAGTCCGTGTGAGGGAGAGAAATACTAGGTTACAAAAGAAAAATTTTTTTAAAAACAAAGTTTTTTTCTTCCTCTCTCCCTTAGTGCCTTCTATCCTTCTTTCCTTCCTCCCTTCCTTCCCTTCTTCTTTCCTTCCCTCTTTCCTTCCTTCTTTCTTCAGAGGGAGGCTTAGGAATTGGTAGCCAAGTAATCTCTTAATTTCTGATCACATCAGGAATTACTGAATGAGTAATTATTTCTTACAAATTCTAGAAAATAGATAGGGTGTTAATTTCTCTACTCATACCTGTCAGTGATCACCTCATATTTACCCTAAATCCTTTATAATATTCTTCAATGCTTTTACAATGGCCTTATTTTTATGGTCAAATTCTGTAACATTCATTTCATGGACACTCAGGATCATAGGATTTTTTTGGGGAAGGAACCTGGAGGTCACCTGGTTCAACTCCTTTATTTTACAGATGAGAAAATGGAGGCCTATTGGGGTTCCCGTGATTTGTCCAAGGTATACAACTAGAAAATAGCAGTGTTTTTTTCCTATTACATCATGCTGCCTCCTCTAATTCAATAAAACTATGATCTACAACCTCACAGTCCAGTAATTTAATAAAGAAATATTATGGATGAAGTGCAGAAGGGGAAAATGGCATAGAGAAAAGAGCCCTCAACCCGAAGTATGAAAGACTTTGATTTTTCTTCTCGCACTGCCACTTACTGTGTGACTTTGGGCAGGTCACTGCACTCCCTGAGCCTCCATTTGCTCATCCATAAAATGGGGGTGAAACGTTCACTGTTCACCTAAGGGGCTGTTAGGAGGATGAAGTAAAATAATGCTTGTAAGGTACCTCATAATCATAAAACACCTAATAAGTATAAGACACTATTATCACTGCATTTAAAGCTTTTTATAGCCTAACTCAAACCTCCCTTTCCAGCCTTAACTTTTCATCACTACCATTCACGCAGTCTAAAGTACAGCTACACTGGCCTTCTTCGTATTTCTCACACAAGGCATCTTATCCTACTTCCTGACCCCATGCATTGGCACAGACTGGCCCCCATGCCTGGTATGTATTCTCTCTGTAGACAGAGGATCTGAGTTCAGATCCTGCCTCTGACACTTATTAATTACTTGTGGAAATGTGGGCACCTGACTTAGTAACCCTGGACCTCATATTATTGCTAGTTTCTTTCAAAGCTTAGCTCAAAGGTCTTCCCAAATTACCTTGTACTTATTTTTGTGTGTATGTATATCTATATTTATATAGCTATATCTACTCAATATATATACACATATGCATGCATGCATTTATATGTATACACACGTGTGTGTGTGTATATATGTGTATAGGAAATGGCACACCATTCTAGTATCTTTGCCGTGAAAAATAGATTCATGAATGGCTGGACATGACTGAAATGACTTAACAACAGCTCTCTCTGTCTGTATCTCTGTGCCTGGCATACACACCCTTTCAGCTATAAATGTTGTATCTCCCTATAGAATGTAAGCTCCTTGAGGGCAGGCTCTATTTCATTTCACCTTTGTGTCCTCAGTGCTGAGCACAGTCTCTGGTGTATAGCTAGGCAATGGTTAAGTGACTTGCCCAGGGTCACACAGCTAGTAAATGTTATGTGTCTGAGGCCGTATTTGAACTCAGGTCCTCCTGAATCCAGGGCTAGTGCTCTATCCATTGCACCACCTAGCTCCCCCAAGACTTTTTTTGAGGCAATCATTAAAAAATGGTTTTAAAATTATAGTTATTCTATTTTGACATCCAAACGCAGTATTTCTTCTTTTTTGAACAAGTCATCTATGTATCTGTGAGTGGGCCAGTCCATTACAACATATTAGTAGGAAAGTATTCCCAACATGCCCATTAAGTTAAGATTGAGTTCCATAAACATTCCATTAGATTGTAAGCTCTTTGGGACTGTCTTTTGCTCTTTCTGGTATCTTCAGCATTAGCACAGTTTCTGGCACATAGTAGGCACTTAATAGATATTGACTGATTGATAAGCAGCCTACAAAAGCCAGTGTCGTTACTTTACAGTAACACTCTACTAAGCAGTTAGTGATTTAATTTCCTCCTTTGACTGCTCTCCACTTTGATAATACCATTTATTGAGGATATCTACATCAGGACTTGGACTTAGATCATTTGGGAAAGGGAGTTAAGAATTTTACATATTTACTTTCATAACATGCTGTTAAGAACATTCTTGCTTTGTCCATTAAACAAAAGGAGATACTTTCTTAACATAATTTCGTTGAGAAGCAGGGGAAAGAACAGATAGAGAGCTGACACTGAACTCAGGAAGACCTATGGTCAAGTTTTACCTTTGACCTGTACTTGGTGGTATGATCCTGGGCAAATCATTTGTCAGAATCCACTGTCAAGTAGAACTTTCTTAAATAAAAAAGGGTGGCTTCTACTTTACATTGTAAACATGCAAAAAATGATTACTGTACAGGACTTGCTCCTTCAGGTCCTTCCCATACAAGCTGTATTTTGCAGCTATATATCTCAGGATGGCTCTGGTTTGTGCCATCTTCATTCCATCAATTTCAACCATTGGCACTTGTTTGTACATTAGTTTTCCACCTAAAAAAAGGAAACAGAAGTCAAGTCAGTGGCTTACTCCCCCTCATAAGAGTATGACCCTGGGATCATAGTTTTCCAACCAGAAAGGACCTCAGCGGTTGTCCAGTTTAACCCTTCCATTCTATAGTAGGGGAAATTGAGGCCCAAGAAGGGTGAGGGACTTCCTCAAGGTCACATGGCTAAGTATCAGAAGCAGGATTTGAATCCATGAGCTCTGATTTTAGAACCAATGCTCTTTCCACTGTATCAGCCACACTGTGTTCCATGGGGGGTTATTTTCATTCTAGAGACACTGCCTCCCACCCTGCAAATGGGATTGTGCTTGCTGCCAGATAAGGTTGTTCAAGATGTTATGAGTGACTGACTTACTCCCTACCATGTATTGAGAGACACGGACCTTTTCGTTGTTCCTTGAACAAAACACTTCAGTCTCTGGACTCCAGGCATTTTGACTGTGTGTCGCCCATGCCTAGAATGCTCTGCCTCCTCATCTCTACCTCCTGTTTCCCCCAGCTTCCTTCAAGTCCCAGTCAAAATCCCGCCTTCTCCAGGAAGCGTTTCCTGACCTCTAGCTTACTGCTGGTGCCTTCCCTGTGTGCGTTACCTGCAGTTCACCCTGATGCATCTTGTTTACTCATAATTGTTGGTTTGCTGTCTCTGCCCCATCAGACTGTGAGCTCCTCAGGAGCGGGGGCTGTGGGCTTTTTTTTTTTTCATTGCATCTATTCTTATTTTTTTCCCTCGTTTTGTTTTTTTTTTTTTGCTAGGCAATGGGGTTAAGTGACTTGCCCAGGGTCACACAGCTAGTGAATGTTATGTGTCTGAGGCCAGATTTGAACTCAGGTCCTCCTGACTCCAGGGCCAGTGCTGTATCCACTGTACCACCTAGCTGTACCTATTCTTATTTCTTTTTTTAAATTTAATTTATTTCATTCTGAACTTAAGAAATAAGACAAGCATTTCCATAACATAGTATATTAGAAAAAAATGATGATTGTAAAAAAAAAAAGATTTTTTTTCCTTTCTTTCTATCCCCTATGCTTAGTGTAGTGCCTGACCCATAGTAGGTCCTTAATAAATGCTTCCTGACTGACTGAAAGCTGCAGCTGGAATGCCATTAATTAACAACAGTCGTTTTGAGAACCTACTATGTGTACTTCAGTATGCTAGGTGCTTTCAGTGATAAGGATCTCTTAGGATTTATCTGTGACTTTGTGGGACTAGGGAACTCCCTATATGGGAATTTCCTCCATCTCCTCAAATGAGGGCTCTACCTATGACTTGGTCTATACACTGTCTGCTTGGGTAATCCATGATTCTTGACTTAAAGGATTTTGCCTTTAAATCTTCTCTCCCACAAATTGATACCTGCTTCCTCCTGCTTCTAGCCTCGAGTACAAACTCTTCTTTTTGCATCCAAAGCCCTTCATGGTCTGCTCTAGCCTGCCCTTCTAGACTCATTACACATGACTCTTCACACACCCTGCCTCCCAGACAAACTAGCTTACTTGCTTTTCTGCCCACACAACATTACACCTCCTGCCTCCTTACCTTTGTATAGGTTGACTTCCATCCCTAGAATTCCCTCTCTCTTCCTCTTTCCTGATTCCTCTAGCCGCTAGCACCCTCCTTCCCCTGAAGGTTACTTTTCCCTTGAAATTCTTTGGTATTTGAATAAGCTCAATATTTATTTGTTTAGGCAAGTAGTTGTTTTGGTGAATGAAAGCGCTGCATTTAGAATTCCAACCTTGTCTCAGACATATGCTAGCTGTATAACCCTGGGCAAGTCACTAAGGCTCTCAGCCTCAGTTTGCTCATCTATAAAATGGTGATGATGACAGCACCTACCTCCCAAAGTTGCTATGAGGATCGAAGGAGATAATATTTGTAAAATACTTTGGAAAGGTATAAATGGTATGATGAGGATGATGATGATGGTATTTATGCATAATGTTTCCCCTAAAAGAATATAAGCTCATTGAGGGAAGGGACTATTTCATTTTTTCATCCTTTTATCTCCAGTAACTTAGATAGTAAGTGCTTAATAAATGCTTGTAGATCAATTGATTAGTCTACCACTCCCCTTTCTTTAGCTATCACTGCAGTACCCTAGGCCAGGGTCTCATCACCTCCCACTTAGATTCTTTTTTTTCTCTTTTTAAAAATTAATTTATCTTAAACTTAAATAGAAAAAAACTTACACAATAAGAAAAAGAAACATATTTTAAACTTAAATACAAAATAAGAAAAGAAAAAAGCATTGCCATGTGCACAGCAGAGGGAGGATTCAAAATATACAGCAATACATCCTTTTAAAGAATACCAGTATAATAAATACTATTCATTATTTCAGAACTGCCAACCTTTCCTTTGCTTCCTAAGTTTTCCTTTGTTCTCTGCTGTGCACTATTTATTTTGTTCTTTTTTCCCCCCTTCTTCTCCTCTCCTAAGAAGATACAAATAAAGACAGATATGTTTATATGTATATATACACATACATACACACAGACATACATGTACACACATGTATATGTACAAATACACACAAACATACATATCTACACATATACATACAAAGATATATACATGCACATACACATACATGTGTACACTTAAATTGAAATACATATACTTACACATCTATAATCATATCCATATAAATAAGTACACATTCATATGCATCTATGTAAGACCACGCTATACTTATTTGTTCTCTGTTTCTCTGAGGGTGCATACCTTCTTCCTTCATGGGGCTGAGTCTTTCCATATTTTTCTAAGTCCACCAACTAGTCATTTCCTACACCATAGCAATATTCCATCCTTTTACTGTCTAGTTACTTGAAATGGCCTAAAACAATAGTGCTTGATATGACTGACATGTAGTGCACTTTCCCTATTTTTCTCTAATGATTAAATCTATTTTAGCTTTAACTTTGTCTGCCACCTAGATTCTTTCAGTGTTTCTCATTGGGGTCTATACCTCTAGTCTCTGTCTATTCCAGATCAGACCTTCATAATTCGTCTTCCTGAAACACAGCAATTGTCCAGATACTTCTTTGCCCACACACAAAAAACCCTCCAGTAACTCCCACCTGCCTGCTCTTTCCTCACGTTCAAGCTCCTCCATTGCCTGACTCCAACATAATCTTTCCAGACTTAAATCCCATCACTTTTCCCTTCCACCACTATTCCTCTAGAGAAGGCAAGGGCCCTTTGTTTCAGGAGGAAAAAAGCTTTACTTTCTTCCCTGATGTGATTGTTTGAAATTCAAACCCTACCTCTGAGGTACAGAAGAACACACTTGTGTACTGTCCTAGGTAATTCCCCATCCATGCTATGATTTATAACATGCTTTTTCACAACTATAGAATCAGAGAATTGTAGGGCTCCAAGGGGATCGTAAGAGACTTTCTGTATGTCTTTTCAGGCAAGGCAAGGGTAATTAATTTGATCTTTATGGACTAGCAGAGCATAACAGCAAGGCTTTGAACTCACCTTTACTTAAATTCTGAAGGTCTTCAGCTGTTTCAAAAAGCACTTCTTCAAACTAGAAAGGAGAAGGACACATGAGGGTATCAGAGCAATGGAATCATAGAATGTTAGCATTGGCAGAGACCCTAGGGATCACCTAAGACAACTAGGTGGTATCATGGGTAGAACATAGGACTAGGAGTCACGACCTGAGTTCAAATCCTGCCTTAGGTATTTACTAGCTGGGAGACCCTGGGCAAGTCATTTAATTTCTCTAGGCCTCAGTTTTCTCATCTGCAAAAATGAGGACCTTGGACTAAATGATCTCTATGGTTTCTTCCAGCTCTACATAAAGGATTCTAATGCTCTGGTCCAATATTTCTCAAGTTTTTTTTGGTCTCTGAACTTCCACTACATTTTTAAATCTAATGTTATTGAGGACCTATCCAAATAGCTTCTGTTTCTGTGGGTTCTATCAACATTTGCCATGTTAGAAAATAAAACTGATGAATTTTAAATATATTTATCAAGTCATTAGAAACAAACCCATTACATAATATAAATATTTTCATGAAAAATGACTGTTTTCCAAAACAAAAAAAATTTAGTGAGAAGAGTGGCATTATTTTACGTATTTTTGCAAATCTCTTTAATGTCTAATCTTAGCTGGATTTCTATATCTGCTTCTGCATTCAGTCTGTTGTAATATGTTGTTGTGGATGAAATATGTGTATGTATACATATATACATACATATATAGATAAAGATATGGATAGATAGATAAAATTCAGCTCCACATAGATGTGGGAAAGGGAAGAATATTTTAGTAGGTTAATAACATCTTAGTATTATTATGGAAAGAGTCTTGATCTCAAATACTCTCTGAAAGGATCTTTGGCAACTTCAGACTACACTTTGAGAACCACTGTCTACCCTCCCTCTCCCCATTTTTTTTAAATTAAAAGATGAGTCATAGAAAATGATTAATAGATTCTCAATTCCTAGAGGGTAACAATTTGTATTTTTTCATTTTTGTATCTATCTGTGCCTGGCAGAGTACACCTTATAAGTCCATACAAAGGATCTGTGATTCTGGCAATCATATTATGACTTCATATGTAGGTGCTGTTGCCTGAGGCACATAAAGGTTGAGACTTGCCCAGCGTTATACAGCTAAGTGTCAGGGGCAAGATTTGACTTCAAGTGTTCCTAACTCTAAGCCCAGCATTCTGTCACTCCAATCACTACAGGCTACCTTGCTATGCCTTTTGGGGATAGAGAGGGGGGGAGGTGTCTGGACATAGGATATAGGCCATAGATATAGGAAAGAGGTGTCAAACCAGCTGCCTGCAAAACTCCTGATTGCATGCCCAACCAGATTAAAATGTAACTGGGGTGTTTATAAATAAAATTAGATACGTACCATTTAGTGATCCCCACTTCTATTTGAGTTAGACACTGCTGACAGAGGGAACTCTTGCTGAGGAAACTGTATCTGCCAGGGTAAATCAGTCACTGTTCTGCAACATATAGTCTTACAGTCAAAAGACCTGGTTCAAAACTTGCCTCTGTAGCTTACTGCTCGAGTGACCTGGGTCAAGTCACTTAACTTTTCTGTGCCTCAGTTTCCTTATCAACAAAAGGGGGGTGTAGAGGGGCGAGGCAAGAACTAGATGACCTCAAAATGTCTTCTAGCTCTCTATTTCTGATCCCATGATCCTATGACTTACCCAAGGTCACACAGCTAACTAATGACAGAGCCATGACTATAGTCTGAACCTCTTGACTCCTAGACCAGTGTTTTTCACTATGCCACACTAATTAATATTGTGACTATTATTAATCATTGTAATTACTGCTCATAGCCTCATAGATTGAGACTTTTAATCTCTTTAAATGACACTAAGTGGTGTGGTGGACAGAGTACACAGAGTAGTCTTATTTTCAATCCTGTGACAGAATGGGGTCCTATGATTAACAGAACTGAAGGCCCTCATATTCTAGGAAGCAGGCAGAGCTGGGGGTTGTCTCGTCCAATCCCCTCATGTGGGGAAGAGAGGAAACTGAACCCCAGAGAGGGGAAGTGATTTACTAACATCAGTTAGAAGTGGGGGAAATCATTCATCACCACCTGAAAGATTAATACAAATTTCTCTAGCATATCAACCTAAATGATCAATGTTTAAAAATTTAGAAACTTCATCAAGACTTTATGAAAGACTTGTACATAATGAATCTGAATCTTCCACAGTCTCTACCCAAGAAAAGGAAGCCAACAAAAATGAAGAAAGCTAAAAATCTCTTTAGAAACTAACCCAACCTCTGTTTCTTGGTATTTTTCAATTTTCCAAAATGATGGGCTTTTAAATGAATAACAACACTATGCAATAACGGCCAGGCAGTTAAGGAAATAAATGGGAACTAATAGCATTCTTTGGGTTACGATATAGGAAAAAAAAAAAACTTTTTAAGAAGTCATTGTAGGCAAAGATCACAGAATATCAAACCTAGAAGGGGATCTCAGAAATCATGTAATGCCAGCCCCATATTCTACAAGTGATGAAGCTGAGACCCAGAGATGCAAGCTAGCTTGCCTGAGGACATCCAGCGAGGAGGTAGTGGTGCCACGACTTGGACCCTGTTCTGCTGAATGTCCAGTGAACTTTTCACTAGGCCTTGATTCTACTTTCAGAAGGAGAACTCAATCAACACAATTATCTAGATAAACAGTACTTTGAACTTGCTCCTGAGACTGAGTTCACTGTTAAAAAAAAAAAGATGGTGATCACAATGATTAGACCTCTTTTTTAGAGGGAGTCATTCAGTAAGCTCCATGTGACTTCTCCTCTACTAAATATTCACTGAGTCTGAAGAAAAAGAAAAAATCTGAAAGAAGAAACATCCACTTCCACACCAGCAGCTGCCAGGAGCCAGCGCACCGCTTCCATTCTGCCTCTGCCATCAAAGTAATAAAGTCTGGGCTTCCCAGCCATGATTCTCAGTTCCTGTTTTTCTGAAAAACAAGAGAGAACCAACTGACCCTGACCTACAAACAGTCCTTTTTCTAGTCTTGGCTCCAGGGGGAGACATACTAAAAGTCCAAACACTGAGGGCCAATGATTCAGGGGGTAGATGGGGAGGGGAGAAGAGGGAGGAGAATCATGTGAAGGGCGGGATTCAGACCTCCCATTTTCTCCCAAAGACAGGCTACTGGCAGCTAGGCCCGGATCTATTTAACTGAGTGAAATGCATTTGGGACTTTGGTCCCATAGAATAATTTCAATGTAAAAATGGAGTTTATTTCATTGTGTAAAGAATGTCTACTAGGATAATTTTTATCATTATACAAAGTTGGTCATCTAGATCTGGGTATCATGGATCTCAAGTAACTCCCTTGTCTTTCAAGGTGCTGTTGGGGGTGATCCTAGTTATATAGATGTGGAATTCACTATGAAAACCCAGGAACAATAAATCAAATAGGAAAGTTTTCATTTAGGGCAAATACCAAAATAAATCATATACATTCCAGTGCTGATTTATGTAGTGAGCTCCCTGGAGAGGAAATTCTCGCTACCAATAGCACATCTACCATTGTCATGGGGTTTTTAGTCTGAGAGTTGCCTGGGACACAGAGAGGTTAAGCAACTTGCCCAGCCTCACACAGCCAGTAGGAGTCAGAGGCAGGATTAGAAGCCAGGTCTTCCTGAGGCTGAAGTGGCTTTTCTATGTACATGTAACATCCCTTCTCCTCTCCACTGTAGAAAACCATTCCAATAAAATATACTGTGTTACCTTGCTATAAAAGCTCACTTCAAATTGACGAGGGAAATAACCCAACACACAAAGAAATACAATTTCCCATGGATTCCCATGCTGCCCATGAGAATGGGAATTTCACCTATAGGACTCAGGAGGTCCCAGGGTTATGGCTCAGCTGGAATAGCTTTAATGGTTCACTTCCCAGACAAGTGTGTATGCCCCACTGATGTTCTATCCTGTTTCTAAAGTTGCTGGAGTCTTCATCTGGGGCTGGAGTTGGAGTTTCTTCTTCAGAGAAAGAGTTAGCACTCTTTTGTGAGACTCTCTAACCAACATGCTTAGAGTTAATGCTGTTTTTAAGCTCTTTTAGCTTAACAATGTTCGACATCCTCCTTCAAAGGAATTCACCAAGCCTCCCTGATATTTTGGGTAGGGAGGGCAAATTCCTTTTAGTTACTATCAAGAATTTTGCAGATAAATGTTGTGTTCCCATAGTAGAATTTAGTGTAAAGCTGTTTTCATTTTTCCCTTATATCCCCAACATGGAGCATAGTACCTTGCACACAAGAGAAATAATAACTATTTGTTGAAATGAAAAAAAAAAAGAATTGCAGATAGTATCAGGGGCACTTTAAGTTATATCAAAACTTTAATAACCTTCAAAGAGTCACTTAGGAGCACTGTGTGGTGCCAGGACAGAGCTAGAAACCTCATCACTGCATTCACGTCATTGGTGGTGGTGGTTGTTGTTGAGTCATTTGAGCTGTCTCTGATGACCCCTAAGGGGTTTTGCTGGCAAAGATACTGTAGTGGTTTACCATTTTCTTCCGCTTATTTCACAGAAGAGGAACTGAGGCAAACAGGGTTAAGTGACTTGCTCAGGGTCACACAGCTAGTAAGTATCTGTGGCCAGATTTGAACCCAGGTTCTCCTGACTCCAGACCCTGCACTCTACCCACTTCATTACCCACCTGCCCCCCCCGCCCTCCTTTACTTAACTTAATTATCTATTAGTCAATAGATTTATGTAAGCAGAGGAGTAGAATCCTAGAGCATTGTCTTGTCCAAAGTCCCTCATATGCATCTTGAACGTTAGCCTTAACTCTGAAATTCTCTTATCTAGTCTCATTCTAGTGTCACTAGTTTCTGTTTTTCATATAAAAATTTGAAGACTTGTACAGAAAGTTAATAAAGGAACCAAATATCTTTTCAAAGGAGAAAGGCATCACGGAAGAGAGGAGAAGCTGTGAAAAGGGAGGCTAGAGGATATGGAGGCTCCATCTTGTCAATGCATTAGCTCCAAATAAATTATACCTCCCAAATGGAGGGAAAGATGAGAAATGCCAATGGCTGAAGTTGGAGCTAATAATAATCATAGCTAGGATTTATATGGTGCTTTAAGGTTTGCAAAGTGCTTTACAACTATTATTTATTTATTTACAATTATCATTCCCATTTGATGGATGAAAAAACTGAAGCACATGATGTTAAGTGATTTGCCCAGGGTCGTATAGCTAGTAAGGGTCTGAGGTTAGATTTTTACTCAAGTCTTCCTGCCTTCTCCAGTGCTTAGCACACTTCCTGGATCTTAGTGTTGCTCAGTCATTTCAGTAGTGTCCAACTCTTTGTGACCCCATTTAGGATTTTCTTTGCAAAGATACTGGAGTGATTTACCATGTCCTTCTCCAGCTCATTTTACAGATGAGGAAACTGAGGCAAATAGGGTAAAGTGACTTGCCCAGGGTCACACAGCTAGTAAGTGTCTGAGGCCGGATTTGAATTCAGAAAGATGAGTCTTACTGTCTCCAAGCTTGGCACTGTATCCGCCGTGCCACCTAGCTGCCCTCACTGGCTCATAGTATCCACTCAGTAAGTGTTTATTGATTGATTGACTCAAAATCCAGTGGAGAAGCTGGAGAACTGGAGAAGCTGCTGAACCTCTCCATGGACCAGGAATTCTCTGAAACCGAAGTCACAGAGCAGTTTAAAACCACAGACTGAAGTCCCTCTGCATTGGTGGAGGGAGTTTATTCACTGGAAGTTTCCTATACCAGTTAAATCACAGGTAGAACCCTAACATCTGTCCCCTTTTACCACCCTCCCCAGTCCTCCCCACATTTCCATGACTCAGCCCAATGCCTGCCATATAGTAAGACTTCAATACATGCTTCTTGAATTGTGCTGAAATTTATGAATGCCATCATTGGAAGCACAAATAAAGTGATAACTGTGGGGACAAGGTGATATGTTTCAGTCAATAAGCATTTCTTATGTGCTTCTTCTTGGGTTATGCTACGTGGAAGCCCTGGCAAGTTAATGACTAATCCTTCCATTAGTCATTAAAAATACCTAGTTTTGAGCCTTGGGAGGTATGGATGGCATACTAGAATTTTTCATTTTCATTTTTTTTTTAATTGTATTAGAGGTTTTTATGAGCTATAACAAGGGCAGGTCTCTGACATCACAAATAGATAACATTTGTGGCTTCAGCACAATTTTCAGCAGCAGAGTTGAACATTTGGGGGGAACTCCTGATTTCTGATTAGTAAGCAAAAATGACAGGTGTCAGACAAAAGAGGTCAGAAAATCAAAGCCAAGGGCAGCTGAAGCAGCCAGTTTAAGCAAATCTTGAGATAGAAACAAGCCTGCATAAGGGACCTTGGAGAACCACAGAACTCAAATAACTTTCATTTGTGCAAAAGAGCTTTTTTCTTTTTTTTTCCTTTTTTTTTTTTGCTTTTTTGGTGAGGCAATTGGGGTTAAGTGACTTGCCCAGGGTCACACAGCTAGTACAAAAGAGCTTTTTCCAACCAATATTCTTTAAATGGAATTGCCCGTTTACTGACATCCAAATTTTCTGAAGAAAGAAGGCTGAGTTTATGGTACATATACATTAGACTGACCAATCAAACAATAGCTCTAAGGAAACAGAAGAAAAGGAATTCTGGAATTGTATTATACACTGAATGTGTTGTACATTGAATTTCAACGTTCCACCCAGTATGGGAATCCCCTTGTAGCCTCACTGACAAAAGGTCATTCAACCTTTGTTTGAAAACTTCCAGTGGTGGGTAAGTTCCTGTCTTAGAAAACAGTCTAATCCAGTTTGGGACATCTAAAATTGCTAGAATGTTCTTTCTTACATTGACTCAAAATCACCCCCAAATAACTTTCAGATATGGTACTGGGCTTGCCCCATAGAGCTACACAGAAATTTTGTTCTTCTCCCCTGTGATGGATCTTCAAAAACGTGGAGATAGCTCTCATGTTCACATGGGTTTCTCTTCTCCAAACAGACATAGTATAGTGACATGATTCAGCAAGTTGCCCAAGGTGAACAATGCATGGCCATCACAATCGGTATCAGGGGCTTTGCCTCACTGACATGGTAGCATGGTTCAGGGGGGAAAGAAGGCTGAATCTGGAGCCAGAGGACCTGGTTCAAACCTTGCCTTTGCCACCTGTGTGGCATGGGGCAAGTCATTTAACCTTGTGGGTTCTCAATTCCTTCATCTGAAAAATGAGGCTACAGGAATAGATAACCCCATTAACTAATGTCTATTGGACCCAAGAACTTCCCACAAGAACAACAAGTCTTGGAGGACTGGATGGTTCACTTGCAGCAAGTAATGTTATTTCAGTCATATCCACCTGAATGTATAATAGCTTGATGACCCCATTTGGGGTTTGCTTGGCAAAGATACTGGAGTGGTTTGCCATTTCCTTCTCCTTCTCATTTGACAGATGAGGAACTGAGGCAAACAGGGTTAAATGACTTTCCCAGGGTCACACAGCTAGTAAGTCTCTGATGCAGGATTTGAAGGCAGATCTTCCTGACTCTAGGCCCAGCACTCTATCTATTGTGCTACCTTGCTGCCTGCCTTTCTTTGTAGTTCTTAGTATGATATCTGGCAAGTGGCACTTAATAAATGCTTATTGGCGGACTGACTGAATAGCCTTCTAACTCATCTCCTGGCCTCCAGTCTCTCCTCCTTCCAATCCACACCCAGCTATCATAATGAATTTTCTAAAGTATAAGTCTAACCAGTAAGTATCAAAGGCAGGATTTGAATCCAGGCCTTCCTATCTATCTTCAAGGCCCACTCCTTCAACTATTAAGCTACACTGCCTCTTGCTTGATTTATACTAGTCTATTATAATCTATTACAGTACTATCTGTTTTATGAATTAGACAAGCATGATTAACTTTTGAGATCTAGAAAAAATAATTTAATCTAGCTATGGAAAT